GGCTATTCTCTCAGATTCCTCAGGCCCTTCTGACTTGCAAGCCCTGTGTCTGTCCCTTCACGTTCCTCCTGTACCTCAGCATGCTGACAAGCCCCTTTTCCCACCACTGCATCAGGGAGCTTCTCCTCTGCCCTTCCCTTGGCCTCCACAGGCCTCTTCCCCAGCGCTGGCTGGGCTGGGTCTTCCTGAAGCTCTAGCCAAGAGTTCCTTCTTAATCCTTCAGTGATGAACATGTCATGGAGAACTACGTCCTTTCTCCTTCAAATGTGATGATCCCTTTGCAATCACTGATGCCCTACAATTGCACTGGCTCCTTTATTTCTCCCATCCCATTTCCTTCCACGTTGGTTGCAGTTAAACAGCATTTCTCTTCTCTTTCTTGCCAGTCTCAGTCTTGCAGCCCAAATCTCAAACACTTGTCTCACCCACTCTAGCAGCAGAGGGCTCGGGCTAATCCCCTCAAAGGTCACATCAGTGAAAGGTCAGTCCCTTGTTTTCTCACAGGCTTGTGTGGACTTGAATGTGCTGCTGCAGCTTCTGCTGCTGCTTCCAAGAGATGCACTCAGTGCCTTACAACTGAATATAGTCTTAGGTGCATTTCAGAATGTGGTCTCTGGGTGACAAGAGAAATTCTTCCCACAGAGTTGGTTACTGAAATGCATATAAATTAAAGACAGAAGCAATACAAATGGAGGGACTGTAATTCATGGTGACCCATGTTTTTACTGGCATCTGCAAAAGTAACATATTTGACTTTATAAATTAAGGTGTCTTTTTTTTCTTATTAAAATGTCTTACTGGGAAACTCCAATATTTTAAGTAGCTGAAGTAGGTACTGAAAAAACCCAACAACCTGGCCGTGTTTAAATGGTATTTTAAAAACTACTAGACTGGAAGTCTAGTAAGGCTATTTATAAAGAGGATGCTTTGTGTGTGTTACACTTTGTCAAGTCCCCTCAAGTGGAGGAAATGTTGGTGTGACATCCCTGTTAGTCATTCACTGGTTTTAAAACCAGTAGTTACCCAAGGTATTTTTGGTTCTTAAGATCCTTTTACATAAAGCAGTATGGATTTCTGATAACTGTGACTATTTTACTGGGAAGGAAAACAGACTGCATTTCCTTAAAGAAAAAAAAAAAGACAACAAAGCCCACCCTGTGGAGTATCCAAGGTGCCACCACTGCCCCCAGGCCCCCCAGGGCCTCAACTCTGAGCTGTGTCCTGCAGCAAGAACCACTTCTCAGCTTGGGAAATCCCTGACTCGCTCAGCTTTTCAGGGACACTTCTGGGATCAGTAGTTATCTCCACAAACTGATGCCTTACTTTCAGTTTTTACCTCTTTGGCTACTACTACTTTTACTGCCTTTGTGCTGCAGGAAGGACCTTGACCAAGAGCTTGTCACCATTCCAGCCTGGGAAGCTGACTCAGCCCTTCTCCAGCTCTGGGTCAGCCTGTCCCTGGCCAGCAATAGCTCTTCATATAAGGGGTTTTAACATCAAAACCTGTCCAAGTGACAAAAGGTTGTCAAGGGCAAATGGCCATGGTTTTTTCATGTCATATGTGATTCAATCTGCCTCACTGTATGAAAAGGGCAGCTGTGTTGAAAACAAGTGTCTTCAAGAAACCTAAGAACTTCACTGAAGTGGTCATGAAGTTTTAAGCCACACCTGAAGGCTTCTTTCTTATGCTTAGGCATAGAACTTTTCCCACATGTTCTGGTAAACAACATGGCAGTATCTCCTCCAGAACGTTTATATGCAAACTTGCAGTTCTAGGAGTATTTAAAAACAGAAATTCAGTCACAACCCAGACCTCTGGATCTTAATCCTGTCTAATCCTTAGTCAGGATTTTATTTTAGGCAACATGTTTCACAGTCATTACAAAGATATTTTTTTAAGTGCATGATAAACAAAATGAGGTTTTATTTACACATTTGTGAAACAGGTAACTTGCTTTTGGTAAGAGTGGGGTGAAAACACACCTGGTATTGAGAAAGATGATATTTTTTAAAATAACTGTCATTAATGCCTGCCTTCAAGGGGGCAGGTTTTTAGTCTGCAGAGATAACTCCCTCTCTGAAAATCAGAGGTTTTGCAGCAAACAACCAAACATCCAGGGTCCTTCCCATTGACATCAAGACATTCTGACAGTCAGTCATTACACTTTACAGTCCTGGGGAAAGTATCTGGCACATGCAGTTGCTTCCTCTCTCCAGGCATTTTGCATGTTACTTTTGCAAGAGTAACTCGACAGACATTCATACTGAAGTAAATCCACAGTTGTGTTGCATACAACCAGCAAGACTGCATTTTACCCATTCAGAAATACCAGCCCACATTGGTTCAAAACCTTTATCTCAATTAATTAAAAGCATTGCTTGTGTTCCTCTTAAAAATATCTATATAGAAAATATACTAAATTTTATAGAAGCATTCTGCACTACTCTTGATGTGGCCCAGGAGTGGAGAAACATTGATTCATTTCTTGGGGATCATTTGCTCTGGCCTTCAGTTATAATTTCATTGTTTTCTTTGGGGTTATTTGAAGCCTTTTAAACTTTGATGAAGCTGAAAGGAGACATCCTAGGTCTGAAGCTCCCAGAAGTGTTGCCACCATTTTGGCTGCCAGTGCACAATGCTGATGTCTCTTGTAAATGAACAAACAACAATAATGCAAATGCTTTTGGGCTTCCAGCTATTACCATGATTAGAACAAAGCAGTCTTTATCAGCCTCACTAAGAATTTCCAGAGCACTTAACCATATTTTGCAAGTCCTCAGGCTTAGGAAATATTATTCACAGTGCAGCTCCTGTGCACCACTGTGCAAGATGAAGGATGACATTCCAGTGTTAGAACGAACTTGCATGTTCTTTTAAATCCACATCTCTAAATACCTAATTTTTGTGTCTAATTCCTAGAAGCACTTGCATGTCTAAAAGGAGGAAGGTAAAACTGTGCTTTTTGTCTGTAAAGGAGACAAAGTGTTAAGTGTAGGTTGATGGATTGAGAAGAGTTTTGCTGTCCCCACTGTAGCCCTCCACCTCAGGAGGGATCCATGCAGTGCAGATGCACAAGCTTTATGTTCATCTGTCTGGTCCCTGTGTGATCCCTATGGATGACAGAATTCTTCCACCTTATAAATATTTGCAGAACCAGGTCTTATCACAACATTTCAATATCTTCCCTTCATGGGAGGTTACCCTTACAGGCTGGGTAACTGACACAAATAGCTCAGGATACCCACCTGAAGAGAGGGCAGTCAGGCCCTCTAGCCCAAACAGCCCTGCCTGGCAGCAGCAGAGCTGCTCCTTTGGCTGGAGATGGGATAGGAGTGAGGGAAAGGGAAGTTTTCCCTCTGACCATTAGCACTTCCAGTTGCCTGTGCCAGCAAGGCTGCTCCAGCACTCTTGACTCTGAGAGAGGGCAGTCAGGCCCTCTAGCCCAAACAGCCCTGCCTGGCAGCAGCAGAGCTGCTCCTTTGGCTGGAGATGGGATAGGAGTGAGGGAAAGGGAAGTTTTCCCTCTGACCATTAGCACTTCCAGTTGCCTGTGCCAGCAAGGGTCCTCCAGCACTCTTGACTCTGCTGAACCTTTTCCTTCTTGTTCCATTTCCCTGCAATAGAGAAGGAACGTTAAGAGCCAAAGAGACCCAGGAAGGTGCATTTTTTAAAAGTATTAACACCCCCCCCCCCCAATAAAACTCACTGGGTTTGCAGTTTTGCAAAACCCATGAGGATCCCTTTCAACTGATTGTTGAGAAGTGTGAGAAGTGTAGTGAGGTTTGGCAGCTCTGCACAGAGCGGGGCTGGGAGGACACGACTGGGGTTGTGCAGAGACTCTGCCTGGCCCAGGGCTGGTGGCAGCCACCCAGCACAGCCCTGCCACTGTCACCTCACTGCCTGGGAGGTGGTTCAGCAACCCAACTGGGCAGAGTTGGGTTAACAGTTGATGATCTTAAAGCTCTTTTCCTACCAGAACAATTCTGTGATCCCTGACAGCCCCTTAGGAATGCTGAATGCTGCTGGTTGTGTCGCAGGGCTCGGTCACCTGTGTGCCAGGGACAGGCCTTCACCTGCTCCTGAGGAGCCTTCATGCCTGTTGGAAAGGATTGCAGTCTCTCAAAAGTGAATTAAATCCTTTTATTGTTGAAATAAGACTGCCCAGTATTTGGGGTTATTACCTTAGGCTTCAATTTCCCTTCAAATAAACACCAGTGCCCCAAAAGTAGTAACACTGTAGAAATAACAAATGTGTGGAAATAACAAAACCCACTGAAGTCTTACTTTTATTCCTCTGAATAGCTGAATTCAATAATTGCTGAACACAACCTGCCACATTTAGAATGTGCACATTTTTATTTGCCTTTCTGATACCTGCTTTCTTGGTAGACATTCTTACTTCTTTTTCCCACCAGCTGCTCTGCAGCCACACTGCTTGCCCAAAAAGCAGATCAATGGGACAAGGTTATATTAAAAAAAAAAAGATTAATCAGTAAGGATCCAGCCTTCCCTATCAGAAATCCAGCAAAGGAAGCTGAAGTTTTAGTTTGCATTTCCATGTTCTAATTCAGCTGATGAGCATGGCATGAGCCACAAAAACACACCAGAAAAGTCTTCAGAAATGCAGCTGAGGCAGAAGAGCAGACAGTTACTTCAGGTTTTTGGCAGACCAGTGAATAGCCTGAGGAACCTTATTTTCTGTACCTGCTGTGTGGTCCCCACGGGAGCAGTGTTCCTCAGAGAGTGGGTGCCCAGGTGTGGCAGAACATCCAGGTTGCCTGAGGGCTGGGCAGGGGTGTCAGTGTCAAACTCTGGGCCCTGCTGACCCACGCCCGGCGCTCGGGCTTTGCTGCTGATACAGCATCCAGCATTTCTACAGATCTTGTTGGACTTCTGGTAAAAACAAGGAAGTCAACAGATGAGCTGGCATCCTACAGAGGTGTGGGCTGAGTTTGTTTGGGTGCCATGTCAGTAGCTGATGGGTTGTTTTCTGTTCCAGGTGATGGACTGTGCGATGCCCCTGATCGGTGAGCATCAGACCGAAGACAGGCAACATATCACTGAGCTGGTCATAAGCAAAATGAACCAAATGTTGTCCAAAACTCCCATACCATCTCCTCAGAGACCCACTGCCACTCAGCAGCCTCAGGTAGGAAACTTTTGTTTGTGAAATAATCTTACTCCATAATTTGAAACTCAAAATCTTCCTCAAAGAATTTGGCTGGAAGACTATGCAGACATACCCTGAACTGTGAGAATTCAAGAGCTTATCATCAAGTTTATATGTTTGTCCTATTGAAATGAGATTATCTCCAGATATAATTGAGTAGTCCAAGTGCTGGTGGGGTTCTGCCAGTAAACTGGTAACTGTGGAGTCAGTGAACCAGGCTTGTATTGTTTCATTCCAGTTACATCTGTATAAAGTATCATGGCAACAGGAAGCAGCACTGTCATAGACCATCTTTGCCCTGAGGATGTCAGAAAAAAATTTAAGACAATAGTCTCTGTTGGTCTGAGAAATCAATTACATGACAATCTTTTTTTATTTGCTGCAATTCATGAAAATACCTTTCAAATCTAGGAAACTTTTGGAATATATTTAGCATACTAGAAAACTTGTGTCAAGGGTTGCAAATGGATGTGTTTTGTTTTTTCGTGACCTTGGAGTCAAAGTGTGGGGGTGCAGAATTCTGCCCCTGGCCTTGCTACCTTTCAGACCTGTTAGAGCAGGTCCAGAGGAGGAACACAGAAAGGAGCACCTCTCTTGTGAGCACAGGAGATTCCCCCAATTCCCTATTAGGGTTGTTCAGCCTGGAGAAGAGAAGGCTCTGGGGAGACCTTATTGTGGCTTTTCAGTACTTAAAGGGGGTTTATAAGAAAAATCAACAAGACTTTTTACCAAGGCCTGTAGTAGCAGGACAAGAGGGTGGTGGTTTTAAAGTGAAACGGGAGATTTCAGTTAGATCTTTGGAATAAATTATTTCCCCTAAGGCTGGTGAGACCCTGGCCCAGGTTGCCCAGGGAAGCTGTGGCTGCCCCATCCCTGGCAGTGTTGAAGGGCAGGTTGGATGGGGCTTGGAGCAACCTGGGCTGGTGGGAGGTGTCCCTGCCCAGGCAGGAGGGCTCAGACTAGGTCATCTTTAAAAGGTCTTTTCTAACCCCAGACTGCTCCAGGATTCTCTCATGCTTTGAGACACATTATATACATGGTAAACAACACCTTGTATGTCTCCATAGCCAGATGGGATCCAGAGCAGCCTCAGCAGCTACAGCTTCATCTTCTTCTTTCAATACCCTGAAGGAGTAAACCATGCCAGTACATTCTGACATAAACCATTAGGGACTGTCCTGCTGCACTGTACCAGCACAGCTCCATGGGAATCAGTTAAGCAGCAGAATAACCCAAACTGTAATACAGGAATTACCAAGCCTAAATCCAGAATCTATTTTTACCCCCAGTAGGCTCCACACCAGGTAAACAATTTGAAAACAATTTTGTGGCATACCTCAGACAGACTAGTTCTTGAGGCAGAATGACTAATTTGTTCTTCAAATATATCATCATGCTTTAAGTTATAAAAATACATCATCCCACATAAAAAAAAGTGGTGTGGCTTCTATTTATATTACAGCCACTTGAAACTAAGCACAAAATTGTTTCAACCATGGAACCATATACAATGGAGAAGTTTCCATCCAGCATGACTCAGGTCCATTGTAAAGGGTCCTGAAAAAGAAAGACAAGGAGAGGGGGGAAAAAATCACCTTATGCCAAATTGCACTTTCTTTTAGAACTAGTAAATTATCCACGTATTAAAGCTTAGAGACAAATTCAGAGTTGCCCAGAGCATAAAAGTCAACACAAATCAAAGTATAAAACAGTAATAGAGATTATTGTAACATGAATAGATCCACAGTCATTTAGAGCATTTGATATTTCACAGTCTGGGGGGAGGGGGGGAAGGAAGTAAGATCTTGGGTAGGTGTGCTTCCCTGGATTTTAAATGAGAAGGAGAAATGGTTTTGGTTACTGGTGTCATTCAGAGAAACTGGTTATCTGCTTTATGTAAATAAAGGTTTTTTTCATTTCCAAAGCAAACTGCCTATGCAAGTTTAGAATGAAAATGGGACACAAGGAACACTGTAAGAAAATTCCTAAATTCCTCAGTCATTGCTGTCACTCCTCATGTCCATGAAAAGGGTTTTTTCCTCTTAAACAAAAAAGCTTTGGATGAATCCAAAGATAATATTTGCTGGCAAGCTGCTGAACTTCTATTAGATTCCTACTCAGTTTAGGTTACTGAAGAATTCAGCCTTTGCTATTGGCAACAGGATGTTATTCAACATTAATCTTCTTTTCCTTATCCTGTCCTTAAATTATGGAATGCAGTTGACCAAAATGAGAGACATTCCTTCAGCATATTTGCAATATTTGTTAGTTTTCCTTTTGGTTAATCAGACTCTGCTTCCTTAAAACTTGCCTTGTCATATTATCCACCAGTTTAGGACAGACAAAGGGGAAATTAATTTCCAAAGAAGATCCTATTTGCAAACACACATTAATCTTCCCAGCTTTGAGGGAAAATCATGAAGCAGATCTATAGTTTTTCGAACAAATGTCTCAGCATGTGCAGTTAATTCATAGCTAGGTTGTTTTGCTAAGAATAAAATCAGCCTGTTAAAACAAGCCTGTCCCTTTCCTCTTCAAACAGCCTTCTCCTTTTCTAATCTGAGGAATTATTTCCTAATCCTGGGGAATACAGTCCCCTCATTTGTGGGGCAGGAGGATGCTGCATATTTCTGCAGGTCACACAAAATGCCAAGCCAGTAATTTATCAACTATCTGCATATGGATGTGTGGTCTTAGAAACCAAACTAATATAAACATCAGAGAGTAATTTGGTGTGGTTTTGCTACTTCTGCTTTTAAAGGAGCAGTTTGCAGTCAGGGCTGCAGCTGTAGATGTGCCATGGGTTGAATTCCCTTATTATCTGCACGGGTTTTAAAAAATTCTGTATAATCTACCCACTAGGTTGGGTGCCTTGCACAGAAGAGAGTGCTCCATTTATAGGTGCCTGCCATGGGCAGGGCTGTTCCAACCCATCAGAAAACAAAGAGATTCTTAGGAAAGTTAAGTCTTTGTTTAGAGCTCTGCAGCCAACTCTTGATGGCAATGATGGGCCTTGCAGTGTGTCCTGAAGGTCAGCAGAGCACTCTGTGTCCACCAGGGACCTCAGAGGTGCAACCTGTCCTTCCTACACCAGTTACATCTTTAGTCTGATGCTTCAGGTACACTGAGAATTTTTAAATACAGATTTTGTATGGTTCTTATTTCTTTATTTCCCTATAAACACCTGCACAGGCTCAGTCACAAGTTCTCCTGGTACATGGCAGAGAATCTGTGCAGGAGACAAGCTCCAGGTGGCAGCCCTGACACCACCTGGCTCTGCTGCCACCCACAAACAGGCCCTGCTGCTTTTTTCTTGTGCTCCCAGGCTACAGGTCCCTGCCAACCTTTGAGAGCCTCATCCAACCCTTCTGGGGTAGAAAGTCTTGGTTACAGGAGTCACAGCTTACCAGGTTTGCTCTGACCACCAACATTTCAAGTCTTCCCACTATCACGAAAAGCAAGAGTCCCTGGACTCAGAGGATTTCAGTCTGATTTCATCACATTTGATCAAAAAATTATTTCCAAAAATTAAGTTGTTTCTATAGAATTTTAAAAAATGAGAGCTTGTTTTACTCACAACTGTGATGAAAATACACACCAAGCATTATCTGGGAATACTGTTTATGTAAGTTTTCCATGAGACAAACCTGCTCTACTTGCAAGTGAAAAATGGTGGGAATTTAAAGTTCCACCTTTTGTAACCTCTTTGGATACCTTTTGAGAAGCCTTTTTCAAATCCTTCCTAAAAACCAAGCCAGTAGGTGCATCTACCCAGAGGAGTGTTGAGCCAGGGGAGTCACTTCTCTCTGTCTCCATCAGTTGATAGGACAGGTCAGTGCTGAAACTTCTGGGTTTGCAAAACCTTGCAGGTAGCTGCTCAGGGCAGGATGTTCTGTGTCCCTGTCACAGCAGCTGTGCATGAAGCAGCTGCCCCGGGCTGGTTCTGGGGCTTCCTGGAGAGGTTTGGGAATGAGCCCGAGGGTCACACGTGGCCTCTCCCAGAGGAACAGCCACTGTGGGACTGTACCCTAGAGGGTGGGTTAGGACACCCCCTCACCACGCTCACAGATGGTTACTGAGACCAAGGGTTAGTTGATCAATCAGTCGGTTTATTAAGGGTCAACACAAACTGAGGGGCCAAGGTTCAAGGAGAGGTTGTCTGGGTGTGTAGCAGAAAGGTGACTGAAAAGGGTGCTATGGTCTTGTTCAGTGCACACTCCGAGGGAGAGGGGCTGAATCCATGGAGTGAAAGGGCAGGAGGAGCCCGGCAGGAAAGTGAGAGTGTGTGTGTGGGGGGGGTGTGTGTGTTTCCCCTCCTCCCCCATCCCTCTCAGCTCCTCCGGACAGCAGGGCTGGCATTCCAGGGGCTTCTGGTGCTGCAGCAGGGTCTCCTCCAGGTTCCCATGGCTTCTGGTGCTGCAGCAGGGTCTCCTCCAGGTTCCCATGGCTTCTGGTCCTGCAGCAGGGTCTCCTCCAGCTTCCCATGGCTTCTGGTGCTGCAGCAGGGTCTCCTCCAGGTTCCCATGGCTTCTGGTAATGCCGGCGGCAGCAGCAGGGTCTCCTGCAGGTTTCCATGGCTTCTGGTGCTGCAGCAGCAGGGTCTCCTGCAGGTTCCCATGGCTTCTGGTACTGCAGCAGCAGGGTCTCCTCCTGGGCAGGCAGAGCCCCAGGCCTGCAGATCTTGCCCTCTCTTACAGATCAGAAGTCAGTGTTCAAGTGAAGTACCACTGTTCAAATTAGCCAGTTAGCACTGCCCAGGTACATAGTCTGTCAGAGGCATCTTCAACCTATTATCCATTTTTTCTGTCAGTTACCATAACCCTGATGCTCTTTTCTTGCTGTGGACTTACCTGGTAGAACAGGGGGTCTGTTCCAGTCTGTCCTTGGCTAAATCAGCTAAAAGACACTGCTCTTGCTTTGCTGGCTTGGAAAGCATTTTTTAGTCTTATGTGGGGAGAGAGAAGATGGACCCTTCCCCA